AAAAAAAAAAAAAAAAAAAAAAAACCCTGCTAGAACCTATATTAAGTAAACCTACTAGTAAGTACATACTTGAAGTTAAAGAAATGTTCATATTATCCATACAAACAAAAAGTTAATGCATATATTGTTATAAGCAATATTAATACTAAAAGAAAGTCAATAGTTCAAGTATAAGGCCAATTATTTTTACTCACAGAACCTTTTCTTGAGATTAGCTAAAGTAATGGGCTTCACATGTATATTGTAATACAGGTTGCATAATTATTGCTCAAAATAGCAATAATCAAGTAGGCTAGAAAAAACAAAAAATTCTGTGACCCTACTGAAATCTGATTAATATCTGGAGCCAATAATCCGGAATTTGGGTCTTCTTTCTTTCCTTTCTTTTTTTTTTTTTTTTTTTTTTGAGACAGGGTCTCACTATGCAACCTGGACTGGCCTCTAACTCAAGGCAATCCTCCTGCCTCAGCCTCCTAAGTGTTGGGATTACAGCCATGCACCATCACACCCAGCTACAACCTGCAGTTAAGGATTTATGGGGCAGGGCCAGGGAGATGGCTCAGTAGAATGAGCATTTCCCTGGCAATCACAAGGTCCTGAGTTCAATCGCTGGTTCTGCAAAAAAAAAAAAAAAGAGAGAGAGAGAGAGAGATTTATGGGGCAGTGAGACAGCTCAAGAGATTAAACTGCCTGCTTAGGCAAGTGCAGGGACTGGGATCGACCCCTGGCACCCTGGCACCACATGGCGTGTCAGCCCCACTTCTGGGTGCATGCTGAGCTGGGCACCGAGACCTGGTGTGGTGTGCACCCCTGTAATCCCAGCACTGGGGGCAGCGGTGAAAACAGGAGATCACTATGAGTCTGAGCTATAGTGAGACCCTGTACTAAATACATTTTTTTAAAAAAATTATCTACTTTGTATTACTGCTAAGAACATTTTTCTTTTTGAGAAATAAAGACAAAGTGTTCTACATTTTTGATCAATTAATAACTTTCTTCAGGAAGGTGTTAGGGAGGAAAAGAACTATCCAATGATACCAAAGGCATACCAAAAGCAATAGAATTTGCATTAAAATATACTACTGGAAGGGGCCAGGGGGATAGCTCAGTAGAATAAGTGCTTGCCTGGCAAGCACAAGGGCCTGAGTTCAATCCCTGGTTCTGTAAAAATAAATAAATAATAAAATATACTACTGGGGACTACCCTTAAAATTAGGAATAATTGATTTAATATAGATTAGTGGGTACCAATCTAAGTGCATCAGTAGAGCAATGGAGTGGGCATGATCTTTTCTTTAGTACTGGGACTCAAACTTAGTACCTTGTGCTTTCCAGGCATGTGCTTATGCCATGAACTTTCTCCCCAGCCCCTTCCCCCTTTTAAAAGTTATTTATTTACTTATTTGAGATGTCTTTTCTTTTTGATCTTTTATTTATTTATTTGTTTATTTTGGTCTTTTTAGAGAGGGTCTTTTTTTTTTTTTATTTTTTATTTATTTCATTTATTTTGTGTGTGTGGCCAGCTCAGCCCACCAGGGGGCAGGGATGGCTGGCATGTGGTGCTGGGAGATTGAACCGTGGTCCCTGTGCTTTGTTAAGTTTGTTCTAAGTAGGTGCTTTAGACCACTGAGCCATCTCACCAGCCCCTTTAGAGAGGGTCTTGCTATGCAATTCAGGCCAGCTTTATGCTCACTTTGTAACTCAGGCTGATCTCGAACTCACAAACGATCTTTTTTCTGGAGTGAGCATTATGTTATAGAGCCTTGTCAACAAGAGGTTCTTATTTATCCCCATAATACCTACCAATTTCTCTATGAAGTCAACCTCATAAATGAACACTGATTTGATTTTTCTCTTTACTATTTCAGTAGAGTTGCCCCAACTGTGGTCAGATACTACATGTTGGACCCTGTCTGATTTTCATACAGTCTATAAGCCCAGTGATAGAATATACAGTACTTAGTTAACAGAGTTGACCTGACTCCCTACCGGGAAATGAAAAGAATCAAAAAGATAAGCATAGGAAGGAGCATCAGTGACAAAGGAGATGAAAAAAGAGGCAGTATGGGAGTGTCTCTATTCCTATAAACTGAAAAGAAAGAGACTTTTTTCTATGAAACCTTAAGAATCTCTTAAATATAGGAGAATATAACCAGAAAACTTACCCAGAGCCTGAAGGAATAGTGAGCATCTCTTTCATACTCCAGACATTAAAACTCATTTTTTACGTCTTTCTCTACCAAAAAGAACACAAATTAATAAGAAAATAAGAAGAAAGAAGGGGCTGGGGAGATGAATAAGTGCTTCCCTGGCAAGCGCAAGGGTCTGAGTTCAATCCCTGGTTCTGCCAAAAAAAAAAAAAAAAAAAAAAAAGAAAGAAAGAATATTAATTATGAAGATTAGTCAGGTAAACATGCTTACAATTCCTTATAATTCGAGTACTCTGGAGGTTAAGGCAGGAAGATCAAAAGATCAAGGTCAGTCTGCCCTACATACCAAAGGCCTATCTCAAATTAATTAACTTTGAGATATCATCTCAAATCATTATTTTGCACAGGCTGGGCTTGAACTCAAGAATGTGCTGCCTCAATTTCCCAGATTACTAGCATTATAGGCATTACAACCATGATGGGCTGGGAAAGATTTCAAACCAGGGTCTGAAAGTACCAGAGCCATGCTGTTTAAAGCACATTATATTTTTTTAGTATTGGCTCTGTTTTAGGTACTTTCCAGGACCAAGCAGCTCTGAATGTCTCCCTTTATTAATACCAAAGCATTAAATCAAAACCAAATAGCTAGCTATCTTACATGCTTTATTTTAGTTTTTTGAGACAGGGTCTTGCTGTGTAATTCAGGCTGGCCTTAAACTTATTATGGAGCTCAGGCTGGCCTCAAACTCAGTGTTCTTGCCTGAACCTCCCACATGCTGGGATTATAGGTGTGTGCCACCACATCTAGCCAAAAGTTTTAGAAGTCACCAGATGAGAGCCTGGTGGCACAGCATCTGCCTGGCAAGCCTGAAGCCCTGAGTACAATTCCCAGTAAAAAAAAAAAAAAAAAAATCCAGGTGTGGTGGTCTATGCCTGTAATCCTAGCACTCGGGAGGCTGAGGCAGGAGGATCACTGGGAGTTGGAGGCTATCCTGGCTACACAGTGAGCTCAAGACCAGCCTGAACTATATAGTGAGACCATCTCAAAAAGACAAAAAAAAAAAATCTACCAGATTTCTTACACTTATAAACTGAGTGAATTTGGCCACTTTTTTGAACCTGTTTTGTCATTAAATGACCAAATGATAACATCTAAAAGAATAAGGACTGGAAGATAGCTCAGTAGAATAAGCACTTCCCTGGCACACGCAAGGGCTTGGGTTAGCTCTCCAGTACTACCAAAAAAAAAAAAAAAAAAAAAAAAAAATTCCTCACTGAGATAACAACTGAATTTTTTTAGTGTGGGGGGCTCTTTTTGAGACAAGGTCTCACTATGCAGTTCAGACTGGTCTTGAGCTCACTGTAGCCCAGGCTGGTTTCAAACTCCCAACAATCCTACTGCCTCAGCCTCCTGAGTACGGTGATTATAGGAATGTGCCACCACGCCCAGCTAAAACATTTGTTTTAGGGCCAGGGAGATAGCTCAGGGGTCTAAGCTCCTGTCTGGCAAGCAAAAGGACCCAGATTCAATCCTCAGTACTACTTGCTATGCCAGTCCTGGAACCCTGGGCACACCGTGCTGGCCACTAAAACCTGGTGTGGTGGCACACACCTGTAATCTCAGTGCTGGGGAGGCTGAGACAGGAGGATCACTATGAGTCTGAACTGTATAGTGAGACCCTGTACCAAATAAATAAAATATTTTTTAATTAAAAAAATAAATATTTTGTTTTAAAACATATATCCAGGTGTAGTGAATGTAGCTCTGTCTCTCAGAAACTATTCCTATCCCCATTTCCCATCCCTATTCCTCATTCCTTTTCTCCAATGAATTTTCCTACTCTTAGAAAAAAGGACCTGGGGAAATAGCCCAGTGACACAGTGCTTGCCTGGCAAGCAGAGAGTCATGAGTTTGATTCCTGATACTAAAAAAAAGAAGAAGAAAAATCATACAGTCATATCAACTGCAGAAACAGCATCTGACACAATCCAACACTGAGTCATAATAGAAACTCCTTAGCAAACTAGTAATAGATGTGAACTTCAACTCGATGAAGAACATCTGCAAAAACCTGGAGCTAACACTGCTTTTTTTGCTTGTGATGCAGGTTTGTTTTCAACTTGCCATATGGTATTTGCTCAGTCTGGTACTGAACCTTCCATCCTGCTGATTCAGCCTGTCATCTGCCACCATACTCCGCTTGATATTATACTGGTCTGCTTTTTTTTTTTTTTTTTTTTGTAGCAGGAATTGAACTCAGGGACTTGCATTTGCCAGGCAAGACTGTGCCACTGAGCTACAACCCTGGCCCTGGC